TGTTCTAATATAATCAAATTTCAAGAATCCCTTGCAAAAAATAATAAAGTGGACATTCGCGCGCGCAAGACGAAATCCGCGCGCGCAAGACGAAATCCTTCCAAAAGCTTAGTGTTCGGAGCGATTTTAACATAAAAACATCAAAAAACCAATGGTTTTTCAACAAAAAAATGTCAAAATCTCATCCCGCGCGCTCTTGCGGATTCGTAGGAAACCCAACACTTTTTAAACATTTCTGTCAAACGGGCTTTTGCGAGCAACTTTTTCGAACTTCTGCGACAACGGTTGCGCACCTGCCAGGGCCATCATCCCTGTCAAATAATACCATGCGGGACACATTCGTTTTTTCTTCGCGCGCGCACGCCGTCGTCGTCGGCCGCGGGGCCCTGAATAGTAGCCACGGTCGTCCGCATGCCACGAAGTGAAGTGTCCGAACGTCATAGGGCGGGAAGCTGGGTGTGGGTGGTGGCGAAGAGTCGTGTGGATATTTGGTAGAGCTTGCACTGCCCCCCCACAAAGTGGGGGTATTGGCTGGCGTCGCATGAAAACCCTGGCACTGGTGAGAACACTGAGCGTTCGGGTAAAGTGATTGTTGTTGTTGTTGTTGTTGTTGTTGTTGTTGTTGTTGTTGTTGTTTGTTGTTGTTTGTTGTCGTCGTCCCACCCGCAACCCGCCCCGCGACCCACCCGCGACCCACCCCGCGCGACCCACCCGCGACCCACCCGCGACCCACCCGCGACCCACCCGCGACCCACCCCGCGACCCACCCCGCGACCCACCCTGCGACCCACCCGACCGCGACCCACCCGACCCACCCCGCGACCCACCCGCGACCCACCCGCGACCCACCCGCGACCCACCCCGCGACCCGCCCGCGGCCCACCCGCGACCCACCCGCGACCCACCCGCGACCCACCCGCGACCCACCCGCGACTCACCCCGCGACCCACCCGCGACCCACCTTCGACCCAAACCACGTTCAAGGTACAAACCAACATTTTCGGCGCCTGCGGCGGGTTTTTTTTGCATTCCTTCCAGGTGGAGAGCCCGCGACCCACCCCGCGACCAACTCGCGACCAACCCGCGACCCAAACCACGTTCAGGGTACAAACCACATTTTTCGGCGCCTGCGGCGGGCATCTTTTGAATCGTTCTAGGTGGAGAGACCGCGGCCCACCCGCGACCACGTTCAGGGTACAAACCAATTTTTTCGGCGCCTGCGGCGAGCATCTTTTGCATTCGTTCCCGGTGGAGAACCCGCGGCCCACCCGCGACCCAAACCACGTTCAGTGTACAAACCAATTTTTTCGGCGCCTGCGGCGGGCTGCTTTTGCAGGAGGACGAGGAGGGGGAGGAGGAGGAGGAGGAGGAGGAGGAGGAGGAGGAGCAGCAGGAGAAGGAGGAGGAGCAGCAGGAGGAGGAGGAGGAGGAGAGGGGACGACGACGATGACGTCGACGACGACGACGAAAAGGAGGAGGGTGGAGGATCGGGAGGGGGGGAAGAGGAGGAGGACGACGAGGAGGAACATGACGACAATGGGAGGACGATGATGGAAGGACGAGGGGGGGAGAGGGAGGACGAGGAAGAAGCGGAGGAGGAGGAGGAGGACGAGGTGGAGGAGGAGGACGACGATGACGATGAGAACGAGGACGAGGACGAGGAAGAGGAGGAGGAGTAGGAGGCGGAGGAGGAGGAGGAGGAGAGGAGGAGGAGGAGGAGGAGAAGGAGGAGGAGGAGGAGAGCGCCATCGACAAGGAAGGTGGGGGCCACGAGGTCCGCCGGCTTGACGACGCCCGCGTCGCCCGCGCCCGCCCCCTCACTCTTATCCGCAATTGCGGGGTGCTAAATATTTGCCCCCTCCCCCCTGGTCATTCCGCTCCAGACATTTTGTCTGTCGCTTCTGTTCGCCGATCAAGCAGCTTGGGCCATCGGCCCAATGCATTAGCCCGACACAATACGCAGTGCGCCAAAATATGAATTGGCACGCTGCACTCTGCCACTAAACGAACTGTTACAATGCAGAGCGTTCCACAATATAAGTCTTCAGCACCGATTCTTTGTACGTGGCCACTGGGTGACATTCGCGAGCGAGCCACGTTTGCCGCGGAATAGTATTGGCACCGTACGGCCATAGCTAGGACACGTAGGCGCGAAGAAGGCGTGTTCCTGTGGCGCTCGCGGCCAAAGTGTTTGCTGCCAGCTGCCCCGCCCGCCCTCTTGTGCGTTCCGCGCTGCTTCGAGGAGGAGACCTTCGTTCTCCTCTACAGCCTCCTTGCTTCCACCACCTTGCTCCCCACTAACTATTCCCGCCCTGCCGTGTCAGTGGGAGGCCGTGGCGCAGAGGGCAAAGCCCGCTGGCCAACAGCGATCTCCTCGATTTTTCTGTCCAGCGGCCATGTAGAAAAAAACAAAACAAGACTGGCGGCCTTGGCAGATCTCCGACGAATGCCTGCACCATATTGTGCCCGGTGAACTTCTAGGCCCGAGATTTGAGGCATGTGGATGGGAGGAGAAGCCGAGGATCCAATTCCATAAGGACACTTATCAGGTTGAGGAGATGGGGTTGGGAGAAATGACCAGGTCATTCGTATTGTCGCGCATGGTGAAGGTGCTGATTGAACAGTTGAGTATTCACACACGCTACCATTGTTTATCGCATCCTCCAAGCCTTCTGGAGCTTGATCTGCATGGAAATTGTGCGGGCTTTCTACTTGAACTGAGTTGGGGCCCTTCGCTCTCATCTCGTTGGAAACGATGCTCCAGCTCATCGCGCTCATGCGTCTCTCCTTCATCGTCAGCAGCTCATCCTGAAGAACCCTGCTCTGCGCATCCCGGGCTTGGCCAGTAGTCTGGCATCACCTATGGGGTCCGATCGGCAGCGATGCTGCACCGCCAGTGTCGACGACTCATGCAAAAGGCGTGGCGCGACCCCAGAAGAAGGGAAGCGGACCCATGCATGATGGACGCATTATGGATTTGTTCTTCCGTATCAGGAGCGGGACGCAATACCGAACCTGCGGTGGCCCCGCAACCCCCCAAAATTTGCATGGACGCGAAGAAAATGTCGCAAGTGTTTTCCGTACCAGCAGCGGATCGCAATACTGAACCCGATGCGGAATGCACGATTCATTGGGCAATTGCCGAACCCTCGCGGCATTGCCCATGCCCCTGATCCATCCCCAATGCTCGTCGCGCAAGCTCCGAATATTAACCACCAAGTGTGTTGTTGAGTTTGGAAGTCGAGTCCCAGTCCGATTGTTCATTGTTCAGTGGCCCTTACTTTCTTCCAATTTGGCAGCCGCAAACCTACGAATCTGAGCCAAAGTGTGCGTGCGTGCATTATCCAGCCGGCGCTCCGATAGGCGCATGGCTTCTGCACTGCACAACGCTTGCTCCGCTCCCAGGTCACTCTCCGGGAACTTCGGTCGTCGGTACTCGGCCGCCCGCTGGAATCGGCGGCATACATGCACCAAGACGCAGAATTGTCGCAGGCCTGGAGAGTGACTCCAACACCAATATCGTCGGTGTGCCTCCACCGATGGAGCAAGATCCCGATCTCGGTGATGGTGGTAATATTATGGCTTCCAAGGTGGCCGAAATATTACCACCAACACCGCAATCTAGGATCATCTCCCCCCTGTGGTGACCACCCCCTGTGTTGGTGTTGGTGCCCATTCCCAGGCCTCCCAAATGGGGAACCCGGGAACAGGCACCCGGGAACCTTGGGAACGCGGTCGCCTGCCGAAGCCGGCGGCGCACGCTCGTCAAGTCTTTACACATCATCCGCGAGGACCCTTTGCGCAAGCACCGATCAGGGAAAACCAGTACTCCAGATTTCGTAATAAAGGGAGGGGGGTCTCGTTTCGGGGCGGGGTCTCTTCCAGGCTATCTTGGAGGGCCTGGGGGGGTCTGGGGACGATGTTTTGGAGGGTTCTCCCACGGGGGGGGTCTGAAATGGCTTGTCTTGGAGGGTCCAGACCCCCTCCCTTTTATTACGAAATCTGGAGTAGACACGTCCAGGGGTCGTCCTCGAATCTCGACCTTCCTTGATGCCGTCGCACGTGCTCTTGGCGACGCTCACACCTGCCGAGTCACTTGCCCCTCCCTCAGGCGGCGCCTCTCTCTCCAGCGGCGCCAGCATGCCCCTCCTTGGAGCGACATCGACCTTCGCCTCCTTCTCCTGGCCCCGAGAGGGACTTCACGCACCCTGGGTGCCGACCTCAGCTCTGGCTTCAGTTCCGCAGCGACCTCTAGCTCCAGCTGCCAGCTCACCGGTTCAACCTCGTTTTGGCAGTGATGATTCCAGTGTCAATTCCACATCTGAATGCCGGCTCCAGCTGCAACCTCGAGTTCCATCGTTTCTTGTTCATAAGGTCCAGATGTGTGTTGCCCATGTTGTTGTGTTGTACGTGCCTTGGCACGCACATTGACCTTGCAGATGTGCACACGGAGTGCTATCGTAATCCGGAATATCTCGACCTATCATCATCATGTCTTGCCGTCGACGAGATGACGCAGCCATCATCATCATCATCATCATCATCATCATCATCATCATCATCATCATCATCATCGTCATCATCGTCATCATCATCAACTTATTATCATCATCATCATTATCATCATCATCGTCATCGTCATCGTCATCTCCATCATCATCAGCATCACCATCACCGTCGTAATTCCAAGCATCATCACCACCATCACCATCACCATCACCGTAATCATCATCATCATCATCATCATCATCATCATCATCATCATCATCATCATCATCATCATCATCACCATCACCGTCATCGTCATCCTCAACATGATCATCTTCGTCGTCGTCGTCGTTATCATCATAATCCTCATCATCACCATCGTCAGTATCACCATCACTTGTTTCAGTAGCCGGGTTGGCTGAGGTTGTGCTGATTAGTTATGTTGCTTCATCACGTAGTTCGGCGCGGCGAATGGTTCTCCAGCATTTAGCCATTGAAGCGAGTGGTTGTCAATGGCACCAGGCGGTACATGGCAACGATGCGGTGTTCCTGCGATCGTATTGACATGGGCTATCTGGTCTGATCTTCCTTTTGGCCTAGTACAGTGCAGGGAGTTCACACTGGAGCAGGAGCTGGCCTTGCGGGAGACTGGGCTGCGAAATTTGCACGCGAGACGCTCTGACATCTTCCTCGTTCCGCCCAGTCCCTCCCATCGTTCCATCCGCGCTCTTCGAGTCCCCATTTCCCTTTTCGTGTCCCCTTTTCGTCCTCATCTTCTGCATCACCACGAACGTTATTGGCATCATCGCTCGCATATTCCTCATCCCTCTCATCATCATCATCATCATCATCATCATCATCATCATCATCATCGTCATCATCATCATCAGCATCATCATCCTCATCATCTTCGTCATCATGTTCATCACCATGTGCATCATCATCACCACAATCACCATGATGATGATCATCATCATCAACATCATCAGCATCGTCCACATCAGCATCAGCACCAGCACCAGCATCAGCAGCAGTAGCATCCTCATCGTCATCACCATCATCATCATAATTCCCAGCATTCCCATCTGCATCTTCATTATCTTCCTGCTCCTCATTCTCACTCCCCCCCTCCACTTCCTCTCTCTTCCCCTCTCCCCATCCGCCCTCCACTCCCCCCCCCCTCTGCTTCCCCTTTTCGCTTCCCCACTTCGTTTCCTCTTCAGTGTCGCTCCTCCCCGATTCCCTCCCCCCTCCTCCTTCCCCTCCCCTGGGGGGGGGACGGTCAGGATGGCCCCGGCACATGTGGCTTTCACGCACGCGCGAGGATGGTGGCGTTCAGGGGCTTTCTGGCAGGGCGTGGCTTCGATGTTGGCTTCGGCGCCCTCCACCAATGTGTCTGTCCTCTTTCTCCTTCGCTTCCCTACTCCTTCTCCTTCTCCCTATTCCCTCTCCCCTCCTCTCTGCCTCCTACTGATGCGACTCCCTGCTCCTGTCCTAGTCGGCCTCCCCCGTGTGCCTTGTTCCTCCTCTTCCCCACCAGCTTACTCCATATTCCTACATCTTAGTCCTCCGCTTGGTTTTCCCTCTCCGCACATCTGCAGGCGCGCCGCGGGCGGAGGGCGCGGGAGCCCCCTGGACAACCGTGGGACACCATCTCTGTTTACGGGGCGGGGGCAGAGCTGCACACAGGGCCCGCCGGGGCCACGGTTTGCGGCGGCCTATAGGGCCCGCCGGGGCCACGGTTTGCGGCGGCAGCGCCCGCCGGGGCCACGGTGTGCATCGGCCGGAGGCTTGGGGCCCGCCGGGGCCATGGCTTGTGGTGGGCCCGGGGGTTCGCCGGGGCCACGGTTTGCAGCGGCCCGGGGCGTGCTGGGGCCACGGTTGGAGTTTGTTTTTTGAGATTCGGGCAGGTTTACTTGCATGGCGTTTCCACCCCTGCCTCCGCAACTCGTCCATTCCAGCATTCAACTTTCCACATCCACCTCCGCGTCCACCTATCGACCTCCAGCCTCCGCTGCTTATAGCACCAGCGGACGTGAACACCCACCCCCGCACATGAGGGCTCTGGCCCGCCCGCGCCGGCCTTCCAGGCCCCGCCGCCCTTGCGGACCTTGGCGCGCTCCGTTCTGCTCTGTCAGCAACGTCGCATGCGAACCGGTGAGCTGTCCGGCTCACTGGGGCCCCAGTTGCGCCAACGTCAGTGCCGACGCGCATTGACGCCAGCATCAACGCCTGCGCCTGCGCCGGCACCTGCGAGAGCACCAACTCCAGGGCGTGCACCAGTGCCGACGTCAGCACCAACGCCGGCGCCTACGCTGGCACCAACGGCGGCGCCTGCCCCAGCACCGACACCAGGCCGCAACGCACCGAGTATCTGCCCAGCCAACTGGTGCACACCAGCGCTAGCACCAAGGCCGGCGCCTTCGCCATCGCCGACGCCAGCACCGACACCAGCATCATCGCCTACGCCTACGCTGGCACCAGCGTCAGCGCCCACGCCAGCAGCAACGTCAGCGCCTACGCCAGCACCAGCATCTGCGCCTACGAGGGCACCAGCGCAAGCGCCTACATCGACACCAGCTCTGGCGCCAGCACGGGCGATAGCCGCTAGCGCCTCTGCACCAACGCCGACGCCATCGCCACGCCCAGCACACCGGTGAGCTGCGCCGATCACCGGTGTTCCAGGAATTAACGCTTTCGCCTTCGTCAGCGCCGTCGCCTTCACCGACGCCCGCATCACCGTCTGCGCCCGCGCCGGCACCAACGCAAGTGCCCACACCAGCGTCGACGCCAGGACCGACGCCAGTTCGAGCGCCAGCGCCCACACCAGCGCCGACGCCACCACCGACGCCAGCGCACCGGTGAGCTGCCCAGCTAACCAGTGTTCCAGCTACACCATCCCCCCCCCATGCGGCCAGTGCCAACGCCACGGCTGGTACCAGCAGCCCCACTTTCAGCCCTAATGCCCTACTACAAATCGGGAATCGAACAACTCCTGCGTCCCCCCCTTCGCCGTGCGATAGCGGAGGGGCCAGCACGCCAGAAATCGCGGATCGGCGGGTAACACGACGTCCCCAGCGGCGCACCGCGCAGCAGCACCAGTGCAATCAGCAGCAACAGGGCGAGCAACACGACGATGAGCAGCAGCGCCACGTACAGCAGTCCTGGAGCCACCAGTTTCGACTTCATACCAAGGCCAGCACCAATGCCAGCGCCTCCACCAACGCTGAAGCCAGCACCAACTCTGGCGCTTACGCCATAACCGATGCCAGCACCGACGCCAGAACCAATGCTGGTGCCTTCGCCACCAGCGACGCCAGCACCGACGCCATCACCAGCGACGGCGCCCTCGCCGGCACAGCTGCCAGCGCTTACGCCATCATCGACGCCAGCACGAATGTCTGATCCAAAACTGGCGCCTGTGCCAGCGCCGACGCCAGCACAAACGCTTGCGTCAACGCCTGCGCCTACACTGGCACCAATGCCAGCGCCTTCACCAGCGCCGACACCAGCACCGACGCCAGCACTGCTGCCAGCACCGCTGCCAGCACCAGCATCAGGGCCTACACCAGCACCGACGCCAGCACGGACGCCAGCACCAACGCTGGCGCCTATGCCGGCTCCGAGGCCAGCACCAGCGCTAGAATCAATTCCAGCACAAGCGACGGTGCCAACGTCAGCGCCTTCACCGGCGCCGACTTCAGCACCGACGACGGCTTCGATGTCACCATGGCTGCAGGAGCACCACAGCGACGTCCACGGCCAGTGCCACTGCGAGCTTCATGCCAACAGCTAGCTGCCGTGGGGGCAGGCGCTGCGCAGTTCCGCGGCAGCACGGCGACTTCCTCGGCCAGCGCTGACACTGGCCGATGGTGGTGGTGCAGTGCTCAGTTCCTGTCAGTCCTAGGCTTGCTCGAGACCTGACGAAGGGACCCTCCGGGGCCCTGAGATCTCATCTCTGGGCCCTCCAGCCCCACGACTAGGCCCACCGGGCCTCTCACGAGAAAGCTTGCTCGGTTCCCCACGCGCTCCCCCAGGCGCGATCCTCAAGCAAGCTTGTGCCCAAAACGGCAGCGGAGCAGAGGCCAAGACACGTGAAGATCAGTAGGATCAACACTCCCGAAGATTAAATGTTGCCTCTGCTCACGACGTCGGGCGACATCTCATCGATCTCCTCCTAGCCTAGCAGTCATCGGCCCTGCGGCTGCGGCTGCGAACGGATGGTCCCAAGCCCCGGGACGGAGGTGACGGAGTCAGCTGGTACCAGCTGCCCATGGACTGGTCGTCATTTGCAGACTTCTCGACAGTCGTGATCTTCAGAGCACGATCGAACAGGTCCTGCCTGTTCTCTGGGTGGTCATCGTCGAGCATCTCGGCCTGCAGACCACACTCCTCCACCAGGTAGCGGAGCACCTTGTCGCGCCGCAGTGGAAAACTCGTCAGGCTCTCGCAAACACAGAGCCCGATGTCCCCGATCCCGTTGTGGAAGTCGGTCTCCTTGGGCAGGCGCAGGGTTCGCGCTGGCTGGTCGACGCCACTCCGACCCGACGCCTGACCGCCTGAGCCCTGGGTCTTGGAGCCCTCCGCATCGGACGTGAACTGGCCCCAGGCCGGGAGGCGGAACGAGTTCACCACGAGCGAACCTCCCTCTGGAGCAGGCGGCACCTGGTCCTGGGCCAGCGCCATCTGGCACAGGCTCTCCAGCACCTTCGCACGGTCGAAGATCCGGTCCTCGATGGCCGCCGGGGTATGGATCGTAATGTTCCCCGTGCCCGCGTAGTGCGTCATGGTCACCTGAGCCCTGGCGTCCTTGCCCGTCAACCGGTCGCCCAGGCAGTCGGCGCGCGCCTGGACCTTGAATCGGTTGCTGGAGCCCTCGATGGCCCCCTCTGCCACTTCGGCGATGCTCTCCATGAAGCTCCGGACCCCCTTCGGATTGTTCTTCGCCTCGACCTTGACCATCCGGTGGTGGCAGATTGCGTGCGGTAGTTTGCTTCCGTAGAGAGCGCTCGGCGGAGGCTTGAGCCAGAACGCTGCTCTCGTCGGCCAATTGATAGAGTCCACTCCGACTACAGCTTTGAGAAGGTCCGCGGGTTCCGCCTTATCTTTTGTGAGACAGTCGGCAAGCACGAGCGAAGTCAGACCCCATCTCAACGTGGCACCGATCCTTCTCAGGCTCTCTTTACTGATAGCGATGTCTACGGCACAGCGCTTGTCATCGATGCCACATGGACTTCCCATCTTGATCACATTGTCGTATATACTCTTACAGTCGATCACTGCCAGGCTCTGGAACTTTTCGAGATACCTAGACCTGTCTCCGAGAGAGAAGCCTCTGAAGAACCCGATCGCGAAGAAACGCATGGCCACTCCAAATGCTTGACCCCGTCCGTCATGACCGAAGACTCCCCAGCCAGAGTAGACTTCACCACCCTCTTCACCCGATAGCTCCTCCAGAGCATCGGTCTTCGCGGCGCCACTAGACCCTTCGCCATGTCCCGATTCGTGACCCCGATGATGTAGCCCCCCTGGGTGTTTCCCATGTTAGACACCTCCTTCGACGAGTAGTCCGAATGAAGAACGAAAGTGAGCTCTTCGATGGGTATCGATGGATAGCGGATTTCCAGATCGGCGAACTTCTGGGCCCGTCGGGCCAACATGTTTCCTCTCCGAAGATCACCTACCGCAGGATTCGGCACCTTCTGTTGATCCGAACTCACGAGGATACTGAGATCAGGACGAGTCTGAGCGGCAAGCCAATTCCCACGCTGGTTGAGGGAGATGAAGTCTTTGACCTCTGACGGTATGGCGAGGGCATCTGCGCCAGCGTGCCGGCGTGTCGGCACCCGCTCCATCTCCTCACTAGCGTACTGGCGCTGAGACTGCACGATGGTGTAGTCGGAGAGCTGCTGCAGCTTCGAGCCAACGAACTCGCCCTCCGGGTCGTTCCACTTCCGGCATGAAAATTTCGCCTTCAGCTTGGCGATGGCCTGAACCCACTTCGCGCCTCTTCCGCCGAAAAACCCGTCGTCGACGTGCTGACCGATGACTCCACACAGGTCGCCGAGGCGTGCCCTCGATCACGCGGTAGTTGTCCAAGTCGAAGTCCAGGGTCTCTCCGATGTCCTCGAAGAGCATCATGACGCACGGGTCAAGAGGGTGCTGCATGAAGCCCAGCTCCTCGGCGAGGTACCTGCTAAAGGTCAGCCACCGGAGCTGCGGTTGATCACTGCGCCCGTAGCCGTTGATCACCTCGCACAGCTGGTCCCCATGCACGCCCTCGGGAAGGAACTCTGACGGCAAGGACACGTAGATTGTCCCGTGCTCGGCGGGAGCGACAGAAGCATCCGTCTCCAAGAAGGCACCCTCCACGTCACCGATGGCCATCGGAAACTTCGCGGAAGCGATGGTCTCCAGCACGAACGCTCGGCCGTTGGACGACAGCGTCGGTGCCTGAGTCCTCCCGGCCCTCACCAGCTCAAGCAGGTCCGGGTCCTTGAAGTCCTGGATGGTCATGCGGCGCTTGACCTCGTCCTCCCGCTCCGTCAGCACTGGCCAGGGCTTCAGGATGCGCTCCGGTTTTGTCGATCGCAGCCGGCGCGATTCCTCCAGCGGTAGCGGGCGCCACGCCTTGGTCTTGTTGATCAGCTTGTCGTACTCCTTGGCGCACCCCTGAGCTATCTTCTCGAGCCCCATCTTGGTCGTCCACTTCGGATCCTTTCGATTCAGCCCCCTGCGGCCCCACGCCAGCAGGACCTCCTCTTTGTCCACTGTCAAGATTTCATCGTCATCCTCGCTGTCCTCGGCCGCCGTCACCGCCAAGGCCAACTGCATCTTCGCCTGCTTGACCCGATCCGAAGCTGTTGGGGAGGGGCCGCGCTTCACGCCCCGCCTGTGCAAGCGGGCGCGCTTCACCTCCTCAGGGGAGGTCTTCCCAGCGAGTCTTCCATGAGGTCTGGCACTTTCCGCCTCTCATGCATGTCCTCCAGCTTCCCCGACATCGTGGCCACCGCCCTCGGCCTCACCTTCAGCAGCTGGCTCCTGCAGCAGGTCATCCGCAGCATTCTCAGGGAACGGCGCCTCAGAGGGGTCGACGGGCTGCTGCACCACGCGTGGTTCGGGGCCTGGACCAGCTGCCGGACCTCCATGGTATGGGGGGGACTCCTCCCTCACTGGCTCCTGAGTCTGCTCAGCCTCCTCCTCAGCCTCCTCCAGCGGGCGCGCCTCCGCAGTGATGTCGTGGTAGCACTGCGCCTTCATGCTGTCTAGGTCGATGGTGTGCGACCGCAGCGAACCCTCGACGAGCCGCCATGCCGCGCGCTCCTCGGAGTTGGCCATCCTCAACTGCTCTGGCGACGCCTTCAGAACGCATCCCGGCACGGCGATCCAGTAGTTGCCACGCACCGCACCCATGCACACGCTTGGCCTCCACCTGGAGCCGTGCGATTCTGCAGACCGCCGCCGCCACCTTTCGTAACCTTCCTCCAGACGGCCACCATGTCTCCTGGCTTGTGCGTGATGTGGCGCCGCGGCCTCGCGTCCAGGGCCGCTCGGGTGGCGCGCCGGTCGTTGTAGCTCAACACCTGGCGCCTAGCGATGGCTCTAACTCGAGCCGCGAAGATGGCCGGCGGGTCATGCAGCACCGCACTGTTCGCAACGATGTCCAGCGAGTCCACCAAGAGGTCCTCGGGAACCTCGGGGTTCCGCCCGAACGCGATCTGTGCTGGGCTCACGCCGCCGACGCTCAAGAGGGATTTTTTCGCCTCCTGAATTTGGGCCACGCACTCCCGGCACTCTCGGCGGTCCTGCGGCTGGACCTCCGCGATCACGGCGCGCAACATCTGGGCGAACCATTGGCCGTGCCGCTCCACCTTCCCGTTCTGCTCCTTGGCGCCTCCGGCCGTGTCCAGGATGGTGGTGCCGTCCCGCTCCATGGCGCTGGTGAACACCTGAGAGATGTGGGGCTTGGCCGGATCCAGTCGAAGCCACTTCGGTCGCATGTAGGGCCTCGTCCAGTTGTCGCGGTGCATGCGGAGCAAGTCGCTCGCCACCTCCTCGTCGTCCCCATCGAAGGGCGTCATGGACTGCAGCGACGACGTGTCACAGACAATGTTCAGCGCCTTGATGGTCTGGTGTGGCAGCCATCCTGGAAGCGCCTTCACGTCCATGCCGATGGACCGAAGGGGTGGCTGCGCGATGTCAGATGCGGCCGGCCGAACTGGCTTCGGGTCAGCCTTCGCCTCGCACTCATCGCACCTAAACTCCGACGCCATCTTCAGAGCCTCCTCGGTCGCGTTGGCATGCCTAAGATGCCTCAGCATGGTCGGCGCCGGGGCGTGACCGAGGTTGACGTGCAGACGTCGCAGACTGGCCTCGATGTTCTGGGGCCAGCCGTGGAAAAGAGGGTCCTTGGTCGGACGCTCGCCATCCACCTCCTTCTCGTCCTGGTCCTCCGTGCCCATCACCTCTGAAATTTTCATCACCTCCTGCGCGCACGACCGACTAGCGCCACGAACGAGGGCCTTCACGAGCTGGTCCGGGTAGATCTGGGACCACACCGACCGCTTGACGCCCGCCGCGCTGTCGATGACCTCCTGGTGCTCGTGACCCCCGAGGCACTGGCGATCCACCTCCTTCGCCACCTCGGGCGTGTCCGACATGAAGCGCCAGCGCTTGTCCAGAGGCAATCCTGACGCCAGATCGCCCTTGCCGAACCTGCGTCGATCAAGAAGTTGGCAATCTCCAGCAACCCCCATGCTGAACTTGCTCTCGACTGCTCGAAAATGTAATGTCTGCCCCGCATTGCCTGCCACCTCGCAATCTCCAAGCGCAACACGATGAACGAGATGGCCTCCGCCCGCTCTTCCTTGAACTTCTCCAGGTCCCTCCACTTCTCTTCTGGCGTGAGCCCTTGAAGCGGCGACAACTTCCCACGGGGCAGCGTCAGCGCGACAACGAACGGGTCCTTCTCCTCTATGTCGCGGAACAGTTGCTCCACGTGCTCGCGCTTGCGAGCGTCCCAGCCCGTCTCCAGGTCGTAGGCGCCGCCGTCCGCGAACCCGAACTCAGTCGCCCTCGTGGTCAGCCTCGGCGGAGAGAAGACCTCCATGATGACTGGCACTCCCTCCCCAACTGCCTGGGCGACTGCCAAGACAGCGGGTGAAGTCGCAGGGGCCTGAGGGCAGCGGCCCGGCCCTATTGAAAATCCCGATAGTCGCCGTCGAGCCATCGAGGGGAACCTCGCAGTGGCCACCCTTCGTCATCTGCAACTGCACCCGAGCCCCCAAAGTCCTGATGATGAGCTGATCGTTCTCCACGTCGAGCAGGCATCCCATCTTCTTCAGCAGCGGCTTGCTCAACAGAAGCCCAGAGCCTCCTGGAACCACGTACATCTCGATGGGCTCCACGTGCTCGCCGACGGTCCACGGGATGGTGCAGGTCCCGATGGAGTGCTGCTCCTCACCGCCGAAACCCTTGAAAGTCACCGCCTGGTGGTCCTTCGCGAGCTCCAGCGGTAGACCTGTCGTCCTCCGGTGCTTCTCCAGCGTCTCCTCGCCGATCAGCGCGCGCGCAGCCTGGGTCGATGGCGCCCGATCCCGGCGAGTGCACCAGGAGCGCCTCCAGCTGCTCGTCGTTGCCCTCGATCTCCTCCCTGAGACGCTTGAAGCGGTCCTCCGTTGGGTGCTCGTGCAGCCTCCGGTAGTCTCAGGCTGCCAAGATGTCCTCTATCTCCTCCCACGCGTCCCGCTTGGCCTCCTCATCTGCGGCGTAGAAGCTCTCGACGAAGTGCGTCCTGAACCTCTGGCTCGGTGGTCCACACGGTCGGGCGTCCTCCCTGCCAGCTCCCTTGGGCTCCGGGGGCGCTCCTTGCTGAAGTGACCCACCCGATGGCAGGCCCAGCACCGGACCCGCGACGAGAACTTCTTCAGGTCTGGTGCCGGAGGTGGTGGGAGGCCGCGCTTCTTGCGCTCCTGAGCGACAGCAGCGCGCGTCTCCTTCCAGGTCGCCAGCACCTGGATGGCCTCGCCCTTCTCCAGCGGCTCCGCCCGGTCCTGCTCGACCTCCGCCAGGATCGGCCTCCAGGTAATGGCGGGTCATAAATGGAGGGGTGGCGAGCGTGGCCCGAAAAGGTACCCAAAATGTCCCTAAACGGTCCCCCCTAGGGCCCCGGAGGGGCCCAAAGGGAACGAAAAGTGACCGTTTCGGACCCCTCCATTTATGACCCCCCCATTAATTCACGCCCAACAGGAAGACGTCCACCTCCTCGGCGCTGTTGAGCTCCTCGAGGACCTCTCCCCAGGCGGGGTCCTCCTCGACCACGTGCACGCCGTGCTCCGGCAGCATCCTCGGGTAGTTAGACCGTCTTCAGCGCCTGTGCCAGCTTGTCGAACGTCCACTGGCGCTCGCTGGCCGCCAGTTGGTGGTCTCCAAACCAGGTGGTGAGACACCCGGTGGTGACCCCGATTCCCCAAAGAAATAATTCTGGGTCACCACTGGGTTTGGGGACACGCGGTCGCCACGAGGTTTTGCGTTTCTTGGGCCAGCCAGCGCTCGATAACCATTACCCAAATCGCCCAAAACTCACCACCGGGTGTTCTCACCACCACGTTTGGGGACCACCAAGCCAGGACCACCGCGCGACGATCCCCACCGAGACGAGCCCCTCGCAGGAGGAGGATGCCCTGGGCGACGTCGGGGATCTCGACGCCCTCCTTCCTCGCCTTCGGGAAGATGGTCTGTGCCCGGCCGACGCAGGCCCTCGTCAGCTCCGCCTTCTCGATCTTCAGGCCAAACACGGACTCGAGCGCATCGCCGACCCGGTCGGCCGCCTCCCGCTCGGGGTAGCGCGAGTCCAGCACCTCGAAGAGCCTCTCCTCTCCGCTCTCGACGGCCAGCTCCTCCAGCTCCACGTGCTCCAGCGCGTCCACGGCGATGCCCTCCAGGAGGGTGTAGAGCATGGGCCCGCATGCTCGGGCTTCCCGCCGCGCCCCTTTTCTACCAGGAGCCGCGCTCTCGCCCGCTTTTTCCAAGCATTGTAGTCCTGCACAGCGGTGGCGCCTTCACCAGAGAACCTGCGGTCCCTCAGGCCGCCGCCGCCGCCGCCGCCGTGGTCAGACATGGCTGTGCTCCGTGAGCTGGCTCAAGCTTGTGTCAGTCCTAGGGCCGCTTGGGACCTGACGAAGGGACCCTCCGGGGCCCTGAGATCTCACCTCTGGGCCTTCCAGCCTCACGACTAGGCCCACCGGGCGCCTCACGAGAAAGCTTGCTCGGTTTCCCACGCGCTCCCCCAGGCGCGATCCTCAAGCAAGCTTGCGCCCAAAACGGCAGCGGAGCAGAGGCAAAGACACGTGAAGATCAGTCGGATCAACAGTTCCCCGGCCCCTCGCCTCCCGCGTCCCTCCCGGTTCGATCACAGCGTTGCCATGCATGTTTTTTTTTGCTAGTTTTTCCTATGATCGCGCCGTCCCCAGATTTCGGGGGCGGCGCCCCCTGCCCCTGGGGGCGGCAGGGGCGGTTTGCTCTCGGAGTTTCCCGCGCCCTACCCCCTCGCGCGTTTTCAGCAATCTCTTTATTCTTGCCGGTCGCTTTCGTCCTCCTGCTCCCTTCTCTGTTGTGCCCTCTCCTCCTCCTCCTCCTCCTCCTCCTCCTCCTCAGGATGGCATGGCGTCTCGGTTCGTTGTCCCATCTCAGTCGGCGGTGCAGGGCGCCAGGTCGGGCACGAGGTTCGGACGTTGCATGACGTACCACACGCTGCAGCAGCTGACATTAGGATCGCCCCAGCTCCTGCCCTCGCGGATCTGGGTCGACGACCTGTCGGTGTCCTCCGTTGGCACGCGTCAGTCCGTCGTCGACGCCGCCTCGAAGGGCATCATCGACTTCGGCTCGGGCATGCAGCAGGCTGGTTTGCAGATTTCCCCCAAGAGCGTCGTCGTCTGCTCGCAGCTGGAGGATGCGCGGCGCATTGCCCAGGTTGTCAAGCAGCATGGCCTCGCCATCCAGGCGGCGAGCCACGGCGCATGCCTCGGCGTTGATCTTGCAGCGGGCCGCCGCCCAGTTCGCCGCACGATCGTCAAGCGCATGGGCAAGTCTCGCATCGCCAATGGTCGTCTTCGAGGCATGGCCCGCGCCTCGCGGCAGTGCCAGAAGTGCGGTTTCGTCGAGAGGGTCGGCCTGCAAGCTGCGGCGACCTACGGGCATGAGGTGTTCGGCGTCTTCGGCAGCAGGCTGGCAGAACTCCGTCGAAGGCTTGCTTCAGTCTCAGGAGCTGCTAGGCGAGGACGTTGTCTTACCACGCAGTTGGCACTTCGCGCAGGCCCTCTCGACCCTGCCAGGCGCCTGCCTCGCGCCCTGGTCAAGTGCTGGTTCGAGGTCTGGAGGAGCTGCCAGGAGTTGAGAAGGCGAGTGGCGAGGGCCTGGATCCCGATTCACAGTCGGCTTCGCGAGGCAGAACCTGAGCGCAGGTCGAGGTTGGTGCGTGGCCCTATTTCTGCCCTCCAGGCCCTCCTCTCGCAGCACGGCTGGGTGCCCGTCGGCCCTATGGGCTGGGAGCGCGGCCTGCAGGACGGCTCTCGTGAGCGGTGGGCCTTCCCTGACGTGGCCAGCATCACAGACGGCTCCTGCAAGGCTGTCCTCGACGCGCTCGACGACTCCATCCTGGAGGACCTCTGGCAGCGCGCTGCCACGCACTGGTGCGGTGCAGGCCTGGAGGCTGGTGCCGATCGTCGTTCTCTTCAGGCGCACCTCCAGCGGCTCAGACGTCTCCCTGGGGGACCTGCGCTCGAGGAGCTACTCGCCACCATTGCGGTGGGTGGAGCCTGGCCGGGGTCACGCAAGAAGGAGATCTTCGGCGACATCGAGTGCGCCAACTGCCCACGATGTGGTGGCGAGGAGGAGACTCCCTTCCATCGCTTCTGGAGTTGCCCCTGCAACGTCGGCAGCAAGGCCTACGACGACAGCAGCGAGTTCCTGCCCCGCGCGGCCGCGGACCAGGAGGCGCACGCAGCTTTCTGGCTGCGCGGCATCATCCCTCGCTGCTGGACTGAGGTCGCCGCCCCTCGCGACCACGACCTCTGGGCGCTCTTGGACGGCCAGCAGGCCGCCGTGCTGGCCCCAGGGGCGCTGGGGCAGGGCACCGAGGAGGCCCCACTCGCCCTCTTCGGCGATGCCAGCGGAGGACCAGAGGGGCAATACCCGCATCTTCGTCGTGTGGGTATCGCAGTTGCTCGTGTCCATCTGGTCGGCGGAGGTCTCGAGCAGGCAGCGTGGGGCGGCCTCAGCGGCAGCACGCAGACCGTCCACCGTGGTGAGCTGCGGGCGCTCGTGCTCGCCGCACAAGGCTCCCTCGGCCCCACGGTTTACATCTCGGACAATCTGGCCGTCTGCGAGGGCTGGTGGAGGCGTTTTGACTTGCAGCCGCACGGCGACGACAGCGACCTGTGGGGCCTCCTCGCGCAGTCCTTTCGCAGCAGGAGCAGGCCCAGATCAGATTTCGTCGTGGAGCACGTGTACTCGCATCTGGAGATGGCCGAGGCTTTCGAGTTGCAGGTTCCTCCTTGGCTGGTCGTCGGCAACGCGGTTGCGGACATCCTGGCTGGCGCAGCAGCGGACGCTGTTCGCGTCGCTGCCCACGAGCGGGCTCGGGTCCACCAGACGGAGCACATGGCCACGCTGGTCAGGAGAAGGCTGCTGCGAGCCACCCTCGACGCCACCGAGGCGGAGAACGGCCTGATTCCTGCAGTGCGGCGTGCCAGGAGGCGGAGGCGTGCTCCCCCTGCAGCCAGTCTTGTCGCTGCCTTCGGCACGTCTCATGTGTTGGACAGCCACGGCAGTTGCTTGAGGTGCAGGTGCTCAGCGTCGCGGTCATCCCGTTCGCAGCGGCTGGAGGCGCGGTGCCCTGGGGTGCAGCGGGACGGAGCCCACGCGCTCAAGCTGGCAGATGACGACGTGCACATCGGAGGAGGCCGCCCTCACCCCTCGCATGTGATGCGGCTGCGCCAGAACCTCGACGTCTGGTTTTGCTTGAAGTGCGGGTTCTTCACGGCGGCCGCTGGCCGCTTGCTGGGGCGGGGTCTCCGCGCGCGCTGTCCTTCGGCTCCTTCGAGGACTGGGCGAGACTACCTCCAGCGGATCGCCCGCGGCCTTTGGCCGAAGGCCGCTGGGCGGCGTCGGTTTGCCCACGCTGGGGAGGGCATCCTGCTCGGCCCCAAGAAGCAGGCCGCCCGCCGACGCGTCGCGCGAGCGGCCGCTGCTCCGGCTGCAGCCGCTTCGGGGCAGGTGGTCCAGCCCATGCCGACGGAGCTGGTGGCCCTGGATGCTGAGCCTGTCCCCTCCGTCATCGGCGACCCCCTCGCGCTGGGCGGCGGCACGGCAGACCCGCGGAGGCCAGTCCCGCTGGGAGCGGCCTCCTCAGGTCCAACGACTTCCTCCGACAGTTGGCCGCAGCCTGTGATAAATTGCGGCAGACACGAAGGTGATGCGGCGGAGACCGCCAGGAGTGGGGAGCATGCGTCGGGCTCCCGCTCCCCCTGTCCTGCTGGCGATCGTGCGGATGTTCCTCCTCGAGGAGGTGGCGTTCCTCGTGCTGGCATCCCCTTGGCAGGGGCCCCTGTCAAGAAGCTGAAGGCGTTCGACGAGAAGGTTCGCTGGCTGCTCGAGGCGGCCCGCGGCAAGCGCCCCAGCCCCGACCTGGACGTGATCGAGGCCCGAGTCGAGAACACTCCTCGGGCCGAGCGGCTGCGGGCCGAGGACGTGGCCAGCGGGCCCGAGGCGGAGCAGGCTGCTGGGCTGCCCTGAGGCCGCTGGCCTCCCGCCACCTCGGCCGCGGCCCCCGCGGATTCGGAGCCGCAACCGAGCCGCGTGCGCCTCGACGCGCGCGTCCTCGGAGCGCCCTCAACCTCAACCTCCTCCTGTGCCTTGCGTCGCATCGACATCCGTGGCAGTAGGTGCCCGCTCATCTGGCAAAGCGGCATGGCCCTTCCTGCCAGGCTGCTATGGGGCTTACCTCAGCTTGAGGCCCCAATTTGCACTAGACTCGCGTGGGGTTCCTGTGCGCGCACCAGCTCTGGCTCTGCCTGGAGCGTCTGGTCTTCGCACGCGCGAGATTCTCTGACGGGCCTTTGCTGGCTTGTCACTCTCCTTTGGCGTTTTTCCTCCCGCCCCCTCGCTCCTGCCACCTGGGTTGCCGCTGTGCGTTTTTGAGTTTTGTATGTGCGGCCGCTTGGGCCGCAGGGGTCCGCCGCACAGCGTCCGTTCTACTCCTCCTCCATCCTCCTTCTGTTTCACGCTCCCGCTGCTGCGCAGTGTGGTGTCAAGACAATATCTGGGTACGGGCTTGCTCCGAGGAAAAACAGTTAACTTGCATGGCGTTCGCCTCCCCCCCCTCGCCCCTCTTCAAACGAAAACCAGCGTGCAAGTGCCTCTCGACTTGCGTGATCTCCGCACTTGCATCAGGTTCAGCCCCCCCCACCGTCCATGCAAGTAAACTTGCTGGAGTCTCGAGAAAAACCGGCTCTTTGCGGCGTCCTGGGGCCCGCGCCGGGGCCGCGGCTCGCGGCGTTTGGGGCGGAGGCCTGGGGCCCGCCAGAGCCGCACGGTTTGCGGCGGCCCCAGTGCCCGCTGGGGCCACGTTTTGCAGCTGCCCTGGGGCAGCGGTTTACTCCGGCCCACGGGCTTGCCGCAGTTTGCAGCGGCCCCGAGGTTTGGCGAGGCCATGGTTTTGCTCTGATGCCGTCGTTGTGGTTTTGGCGGCGCAGACCTGCGCGTCGGCACCTCTCATCCGCAAGCCGCGGGAAACGATTGGAAATACAAATGACCAGAATTAGTAATGAGTGTTCTGTACTCCAGATCCCCGCTCTCCTACTTCGGATGCCTGTCCGCGTACTCCGTGTTTTCGTGTTGCCCCTCCTCCCTTTCCTGCTGGTAGTCTGGGAAGCCCGCGCAGCTCGTGTGGCCGTTATAGTCGCGATTGCCAGGCACCGCAGGACCTTCTTGGATGAGGCCGCTAGGCAGCACAGCGGGCAGAATGCAGGGTTGTGCGTGTCGTCGTGGCCCTCGTTGTCGTAGCCCCTTTTGTTGGCATAGCCGTAGCGGTAGCCGTCGCAGTCGTAAAATTCGAAGGCGTGGCCCTCAAGGTTGATGTAGCTGGCGTTGCTATCGACATGTTCGTTGCTGCCGTAGCCGCAGCCCTCGACGTACTCGCGCCCGTGGACGAGGCCGAAGTAGTGGTTCTCGTCGAGTTTTGGCCCGACCAGGCTCACCGTGTCGGCTCGCTTGGATGACGATGTGCTTCGGCCGTGGCTTCGTCCTCGAGCTCTAGTACGGCACCTCTTCCGCACGTGCTCCCATACAACACCCTGCGTTGCTCGGGCCGGACGAAAGGGGGGGATTGGGAAAGGGGGGGTTACGAAATCTGCTGCATGCAGCTGGTTTCGGCCCCACCGAGGGGCCCATTCCTCGATACATGGGCGCCTTCCGGCGCCGGGCGACGCCGGGAAAATCAGCTACGTGAGCTCTCAAACCCCCCCTTTGCTATCCCCCCCCTTTCGCCCGACCCGAAACACCCTGCGTTGCGCCGCTCCGCAGGCTGCGTGGCGATGCTTCCAGGCCGCTCTGGGAGCTGCCGTGGGCCCGAGAGCTCGGGCGTCGGTGGCCCTCTGCGAGCCGCGGGGCTGCGCCCTGCGGGCACGGCGGCGCGCCCTCTTAACCACGGCCGTGGTTTTGAATGGCTGAGGCCAGCCCGCCAGGCGCACGGCGCGCGTGCAAGCGAGTGCTCAGAGCGTGAATTACCTACCCCGCTTTCGCTTCCAGGAAGAACCAAGCCATACCACGCGCCTCCTCGTCAAGCGGCCTGACCAGTACAGGCTGCAATTTGGCATCGTTTGGTATCTCTTGGATGCGAGGGTGGTCAAAAGCGAGGTAGGTTTGTTTCCCCCCTAAGTGCGGAGGATGGATCCCGCATAGGGCCTTCATCATCCTTCTCGCCTTTCTCCGGATGCGCCTGCTTCCTTCTGGTGCAGCATCGTCCTCGTCATCGTCATCGTCATCGCCAGTGTTACCATCACCACCAGCATGATCATCCTCCTCACCCACCTCCTCTCCTCCACCTCCTCCACCTCCTCCTCCTCCACCTCCTAATCGGCATTATCAGCATACGCATACGCATACGCATACGCATACGCATACGCATCATCATCATCATCATCATCATCATCATCATCATCATCATCATCATCATCATCATCATCATCATCATCATCATCATCATCAGCAGCATTACCATCATCATCACCATCATCATCATCATAATCATCATTATCACCATCACCATCACCATCACCATCATCATCATCAGCAGCATCATCATCCGCAGCAGCATCAGCATCATTATCATCATCATTGTCATTGTCATCGTCATCGTCATTGTCATCGTCATCGTCGTCATCATCATCAGCATCATCATTATCACCATCATCATCATCATCATCATCATCATCATCATCATCATCATCATCATCATCATCATCATCATCGTCATCATCATCATAATCATCATCATCATCAGCATCATCCCAATCACCACCCCATCAGCATGACCATCACCACCACCATCAGCATCATCAGCATCATCATGGTCGTCATCGTTAGCATCGTCATCATCATCGTCGTCATCGTCATCATCATCATCTCCACCGTTATCTTCGTCGTCATCATTATCAGCAGCAGCAGCAGCACCACCCAATATCTCCTGATCCGTCCCATCCTTGCTCCTTCCCCGCCTCCCCAACCCTCTCCTTCCTTCCTCCTCGTCCTCCGCATCGTCCTCCTTCCTCCTCCCGGGCTGTCTGGAGGATAGGTTTCCGTGGCCCCGCCCCCACTCCCCACCCCTGCTCGCCCCAAGCGCAGGAGAGCGACCGGATGGACCCCCACAGGGACGAGGTCATCGCGCGGAGGAGGAGGAGGAGGAGGAGGAGGAGGAGGAGGAGGAGGCGGAGGAGGAGGAGGAGGAGGAGGGGGGTGGAGGGTGAATGGAGGGGTGGAAAAGGGGGCCAGAGGATGCTCAGCATGCGTCAACGATTCTGCAGTGCGCCCGGGGGTGACGTGAGCGGGGGCAGACCTTCTCAGATGGCGGCGGGGCTTCTCAGAGACCGCCGCGTTTTCTGAGAATCGTTCTGCGTATTCGGGGAAGGCTTAGAAAACTGTGCAGAAGGCGCGACGGCTTCCAAGAAGCCCCGCCGCCTTCTTAAGGGGCCTGCCCCCTCTCACTTCCCCCTTGGCTCGCCGCCAAACGACGATGCAGCGCACCCGTCCGCGCCAGGCCCCCTGACAAGGCCCTGCAGACAGTCTTCCTCGCTGCGGGCAGCGCCTTCTTGCAAGACATTGACCCCGACTGGCCTGCCATTCAGGCGAGGACACCGTTTTTCAAGGAAGTGTCCTAAGAACACCTGGTTTTAAAAAGAAGTGACCTCCATCCGTGTAACGACTGTACGGTAGGTTTGCGTCGTGTCGACCAGCGGCGACCCCAGCGCGGGCGTTCAAGGTTGAACGCCGCCAGCGACCCAGAATCGATCGATGTTGAACGATCGGACGTTGCGGCAGCGGCCGATCGTTCAAGGTTGAACGATCCCTGCGGTGTCAAAAACCAACACTGGGGTCGGCACGACACGAACCTGCCGTACACGTACGCATGTTCGCCAAGCGCAACGATCTCTCAAGTGACAGCCCTTGTCCCCCAGCCTTACATCTCTTGGACGCGTGTGAGGCACATGAGCGCGTCGCTCGGGTAGGGCCCCCATTTTGAAAAGGAGCCGCCCTGCCTCCTTGCAATAGTTGGGAACGTTTCAGACAAGTGTGCGCGGCTCTAGAGCAGGACTCACATGTTGAAAACAGCCCACCATCACCATAGTTGTGACTGCTGGATGCTTCAAGCGTTTGGGTCATGAACGGTGAGAAGTCTCAGGTGAACGTCTGGACTACCCTACCAACTCGATGCGTGGCGCGACGAGGAGGAGCTGCCAAAAAAGCAAATGGGCAGAGTAGGTGGAGAGGCGGAGCTGGAGGCGGAGGTTGAGGGGGGGAGGGAAGGAGATGGAGAACAGGCAGGGGACGAGGCGAAAAGCAGTAGGGGAGGAGGAGAAGGGGAAGAGAACAAGGAGGAGGAGGAGGAGGAGGAGGAGGAGGAGGAGGAGGAGGAGGAGGGGAACGGGACAGTTTTTGCCGCCCCCCAGGACCCTTACCTCAGGAGTTCTGGAGGCTTCTGGAGGGCCGACACAGGGCAACACCGGCCGATCACTTTCCCCCCTCGACCGTTGGCGGTCGAGGCCGAACTTCACAGCGTGGACCCTCGAAGGTTCCGAGTCGTCTTGTTGACGGTCCCCGGCCACGGTGCGGGCCCCTGGAGGCCGAAACCTGCGAGAAACCTCTCGGCGTGTTGTCCAACGGAAGCAGGAGGAGGAGGAGGAGGAGGAGGAGGAGGAGGAGGAGGGGGAGGGGGGGAGGGGGAGGGGGAGGGGGAGGGGGAGGGGGGAGGGGGGAGGGGCAAGCTAGGTGCGCTCGCGTCATATCTGACATCCTACCCCTCCCTCCCATCTCTTACTTACCATGGCGCAGAGCCCCTTTCTACTCGCTCAGTCGGATGTCGAGCAGGGCAATGATGGGTACGCGATGCATTGTAGAGCACGGTATGGCATGGCGTCGAAGAGCACCGCAAAGCGTAGTATCAACCTAGCATTGCAGTGCATGCCGTGGCATGGCACGGGAAATGACGTCAGCGCTGCAGCGGGAGCAGAAGTCGAAACGAGCGGAAGCGCGGAAATGAGGCCAGCGCTGCAGCGGGAGTACGATTCGGAACGAGCGTAAGCACGGAAATGAGGCCAGCGCTGCAGCGGGAGCACGATTCGGAACGAGCGGGGCCCGAAAATGAGGCCGGCGCCTCAGCGAGAGCAGCATTTTGAAAACAGATGCAGGCGAAGACCCAACTCCGGGGAAACCTGCGTGTAAAAAAACCGTACGCGGGGGAGGGTCGGACATTCCCAGGCCGTCATCAGGGGAAGAGGGAGAGTAGTATTCATATTGAGTAATTGTGGAGGAAGAGTCGAGGAAGAGGGGGAGGAGGAGGAGGAGGAGGAGGAGGAGGAGGAGGAGGAGGAGGAGGAGGAGGAGGGGGAGGAGGAAGAGGAGGAGGAGGGGGGGGAGAGTAGGAGAAGACGGCGGAGGAGGCGGGGGCGCGGCATTGGGCGGAGGAAGCGCGAGGCCATCCTGGCCGAGATGCGCCTCCGCGGCGTGCCGGCGGCGGCCGAGCAGCTGGCGCGCCTGGCGCGCCTCGAGGCGCTGCCGGCGCGCGAGTGGTGGCGCGGGCAGCTGGCGATGCTGCGGCTGGCCAGCCGGCCGGGCGGTCAGCCCTTGCGGGCCCTGAGGCCCGGGCCGCCATGGGGGGAAGCGGGTCCTCGAGAGAAAGGGGTCCTCAGGTGTTTCGCCGTTTTCGAGCTCTCGGGGCCCTCCACGTAAAACGACGCGAAGATCGGGACAAAATCGGATCGGGATAATTCGAAATCTCTGAGAGTCGGCGGGTTTGGAGGATGTACTGGGCGCCGCGGCCGCTCCAGAGCGTTCCGGAACGCTCTGAGAGCGCTCCGGAACGCTCTGGAGCGATTTATCCCGATCTTAGCCCTGTTTTACATGGGGGAAACGGGTCCTCGAGAGAAAGGGGTCCTCAGGTTTTTCCTTGTTTTCGAGCTCTCGGGGCCCTCCACGGGCCCCGGGAGTGTCAGGAAACGGCTCGGGATGGAGTCTCGTCCTGGGGGAAGGTCACAGGGGGTGCAGGACCCGCTGTCCTCGGGACCCGACCCCCCTGTGCTAACCTGGGTGGTCAGAGGAGGAAGAGGTGCCGATCCCTAACACCGGCCCTCGAGTTGTCGAAGACGCCTACGGCGAATCACTGCCGCCCCCCGCCTTATGTTGACACCCGTGCGGCCAAACGTTGGGCCGAAGTCTGGCCAAGCTATTGGGGTCTGTGTTCCCCCATCCGTTGTGGAACCTCTTGGGCCCTTGGGGGAACACTGGGAAGGGCAAACGAAAGGAAGAGGAGGAGAGGGAGAAGGAGGAGGAGGAGGAAGAAGAGGAAGAAGATGAGGCCTGTTGAGGCTCTCTTGAGGCGTCCTGGGGGCTTCCTGGGAGCTTTTTGCGGGCTCTACAGGGCGTCTTGGGAACCTCCTGGGGCTTCTTGGTCTTCTGAGGCCTCTTGGGGGCCTCTGAGGGGCTTCTTGGGGCCGTTATGGTGCCTCTTGGCCTTCGGAGACCGTCTTGGGCCCGCTTGAGGGCCGCATTGGAGGTCTCTTGGGTTGTTTGGGGATCGTCTTGGGAGCCTCTGTGGCTGTCTTGGGGCCCTTCGGGGCCGCCTTGCGGGCCTCTTCGGGGTCTCTTGGGCCGTATTGCGGCACTATTGGAAGATTGTGGGCCCGTCTTGGAGCGTCGGAAGCCCGAAAAGAAGAGAAACTAAAATCATTCAATAATCGGCAGTACAATCAATGAGTTTGGCCAGCCAGAGATCCTCTCGGAGCCCTCTTGGGGCGTCTAGGGGCCTCTTGGCTTTTGGGAGGGCATCTTGGGCCCTTCCTTGGCAGTCGTGGATCCTCCGTTGGGCGTTTTAGGGCCGTCTTTGGGGTCTCCATGGCCGTCTTGGGACCTCCTAGAGGCACTTCGGCTGCCTTGAGGCCCTCTTGGGCCGTCTTCGGGGCGCCTTAGGAACCTCGTGGACCGTCTTGAGGCGATCTTTGGTGCCTGTGGGCCCGTCTAGGAGCGTCGGGCACCAGGAAACGACAACAAATGTACATCATTTCATCAACAAACAGTTCTGGTCCCTGCAGTTCCTATTGGAGTCCTTTTGGGGCGTCTAAGGGGTAGACTGGCCTTCAGAGGCCGTCTTGGTCCCTTCCTGGGTAGCCGCAGGTTCCTCTTTGGGCGCTTTTAGGGCCGCTGTGGGGGTCCCTACGGCCGTCCTCCGGGGCACTTGGGCTGTCTTGGGGCCCTTTTGGACCGTCTTGCGGGCCTCTTGGGGCGATCTTTGGGGCCTGTGAGTCCGTCTTGGAACGCAGGGAGCCCGAAGGGGCGGACACTAAACAAACATAGAAAGCTGTCTAAGTATCAATAATTCTGGTCTCCTGGAGGTCCTCTTGCAGCCCTCTCGGGGCGTCTGAGAGACCTCTTGGACCGTCTGGAGGACATCTTGGGACGTCTTCGGGCCATCTTGGACACGTCTGGGGACCATCTTGGAGACCATATCTGGCCATCTTGACCGTCTTGTCTTGAAGGCACCTTGTCGGCCATCTTAAACAATTTGGGCTGAACCAACCTATAACCCAGAAGTGTTCCCTGTGGCCGGCTTGTTGTGCCGAGACCCTTTTGATACATCAACCTTGGGCGGCGGATCGATCGAATACGCCTACGGCGAATCATCGCCACCCCCTGCGTTTTGGAATCGCCAATGTGGCCGAACGTCGTGGCCAGAGCTCTGCCAAGATTTCGAACCATGTGTTCCTCCAGCCGTTGTGGAAACTCTTCGGGGAACACGCGGGGGAGAACGAACAAACAGGAGGATAGGGAGGAGCAGGAGGAGGGGGAGGAGGAGGAGCAGGAGGAGGAGGAGGAGAAGGAGGAGGAGGAGGAGGAGGAGGAGCCTCTCAGAAGCCTCTTGCAGCACTCTTGGGGTCTCATGTGAGCTTCCCGGGGGACTCTTGGAGGCCTCTGGGGGGACTCCTTGGGCCTCTTGGGAGCCTTTGGGGGCTTGTTTGGGGCCGCTTTGGCCGTCTTCGGGCGTTCCTGGCCCGTCTGACGCCGTCGGGAGCCGTCTTGGATGCCTCTCTGAACCCGACTTGGGGCCCTCTTGTGGCGGTTCAGGGTCTTCTTGGAGGCCATCTTGGGCATCTTGGAGGCCTCTTGGGCTGTCTTGGGGCCCTCTTGGACTCTTGGGGCTGTCTCGGAGGCCTGTTGGGCCTTCCAGGAGCCATCTTGGAGGCCTTTGTGGCCACTTTGAGGCGATGGGGCCGTCTTGGCCCTCTTGGGCCGTCGGAAGGCCGAAGAGAAGCAAATGCCCAAAGCCTTCAAACCCCTCAGGAAAATTAATGATTTTGTCGTCTGCGGGCCCTCCTGGAGGACCGCTTGGAGGTCTTTTGGGCCGTCTTGGAGGCCTTTTGGGGGCCTCTGGGGCCATCTTGGAGGCTTCTTGGACGGACTCGGAGGCATCTCGGACACTCTGGGCCGTCTAGGAGACCATCTTGGGCGAACTCGACGGTCATCTTGGCCATCTGTGAAGCCATCTTGGGCCGTCATCGAGCCATTTAGAGCATGAAAGAACTTGACAACCAGGTCTTCCTGGTGACCGGCGCGCTGTGCCGAAGCGCCAGGGGGAGTTTGCTTAAGGAGCCAAAACCTTACGGACATCCAGCACGCCAGGCAACCCTGTGATCGGCTCCGGAAAAGTCATGCGGGAAGCACCGGGAAATTACGGGGGCCACCGTGCTTGGATTGTTGGTCACAGGCCTTTCGGATGTTCGTTGGGACGTCGCGGGAGGCCTCTCGGGGGCCTATTGGGGGCCGATTTGAAGCCTCTTTGGGGCCGTTTTGGAGGTTCTTGGGGTGTCTTCGGGGCCTCTCTGGGGTTTCTCGCGGCCTCTTGGGGGCTTAGTGGGGCCTCCTTGGGGACTCCTGGGAACCTCGTGGGGCGGAAGGCTCGGATTTTCGGTTCGTGTTCCCCCTCCTGGACCTTTCTTGGGGCTGTCGTGGGGCCCTCTTGGGCCGTCTTTGGGCCCTCTTGGGCCGCGTTGTGGCCCTCCAGGGGGCCTCTTGGGCAATCTTGGAGCGTTGGGGGCTCGAAAAGTCCAGGACTTCAAAATCATTTATAAACCGACAGGGGAATCAATGCGTTTCGCCTCTCCGTGCCCTTTTGGGAAGGCTCTTGGGGCTTTCTTGGGGCGTCTCGGAGGCCTCTGGGGCCGCCTTGGGGTCATCTTGGGCGTCGTGGTGCGATCTCACAAGGTTTTTGTTGTTTGGTTCTCTGTTGAAAAGAGACTAAGCTTGAACTCGCATTATCCTTGCCTCGTGTTCGTCTTTTTTGTCCTCCTGGCAGGCCTTTGTCGCCACGTTTTGATTCGCTTCGAATTCCTTGTCCGAGCGCACCCCTGGAAACTGTCCAGGGTCTGGGGGGCAGCGGTGTCAGAACCTCTTGGTGTCCCCCAGGATATCTACCTTTGTGTCGTTTTCGCCTTGGGAGGCCATCGTCGCCACGACTGGGTTCACTTCGAAATTCTTGTCTGAACGCATCTCCTGAGAGGTCTGGGGAGCATCGGTGTCGGTATCTCTAGGCTTCCCAAACATAAGAGGGGAGGGGCGGGGCGACACCGACCACCCTTGCTAAGGGATGGGGACGGAACAACGGAGGAGGAAAATGACGGCCAAGAGTGGAGGGGGGCGGAGGAGAAAAAGGAGGAGGAGGAGGAGGACCAGTGCAAACCCACGACTCACCAACGATGTTGGAACAAACTGTCCCTCCACGCTCCCTCTTCATGGGCCCCTTACAACGGTTCATTTCCACTGAGGGAAGTGCCCCGTTGGGAGACAACCGCTGGAGGATCCTGAAGCGTGCCAGAACTTTCTTCTCGAAGCTTCAACGCGGCGAATCCACTAGACTATTGCGTCTTGACGTTTCCGAGTCGTGCCAGAACTCTATTCTTGGGACTTCAACCCCGCGGATCAAGTGAATTGTTGCGCCTTGAAGTTTCCGAATCTTGCGAGGACGCCATTCCTGGGGCTTCAGCATCGCGAATCAAAGTAAATGGTACGCTCTGGCAGTCCAGGGCCGCTTCAGATTAAACTGTCTGGCATGTTAACCATGGGGCTCCGTAAGCAACGGGTAATTTCTTAAGACAGATGTGCACGTCTTGAAAACTACCCGCCTTGAATATGTGAAGCTCTGACAAGTGGCCCAGACGAATTCGCGCGGTGCTAAGGCGAGAGTCACATGCTGAAAACCACCCGCCCTCGTTCCTTAAAGCCCTTGCACATGTCCAAGACGAATGTGCGCGGTGCTACGGCGAGAGCCACATTTTGAAAACCGCTCGCTCTCCGTCTGCGAAACGGCTGCCAAGGTGAGGAAATCTAATGCGAAACGCAGAGCACGTCCTTCCAACTGGCGTCGGAGTGCGACTGGAAGGAATTATTGATAAGGAAATGACATGGACGAGGAAAAGGAGGGGGACCAGAGTATGTCCACGATGCGCCAACGATCTTGCAATACAACCTTCCGTCCCAAGTCCCCCGCCACAAGTCCCTACAAGCTTTCCGTTCCACAACAAGGATTTCCCCCTTCGAGAGGCCAGCACATTGCGAACCTGCCGTTCAGGCGAGAATCCCGTTTTGAAAA